TTAAGGATGGAACTCTTTGAATGAAAATGAAAATTACGTCTGTAGTCCCTTTAAACTATAACTATGTTTTGTTAAGTTTAAAACTATATTTGCTGCCTAATCACTAACCAGTGACCAGTGTTGGACCATGGTTCACGGTTAACAGATCAGAGAAACCAGTTTGAAATTGGAAGCTTGATAAAGAACACAGAAGTGATTACTCCACAGTGGTTCAATATGAACCTTTGAAATGGTAGCACAGTGGAACAATATAACTATCATATTGGCCTTAATCTTACACAGAACATTGTATTCTAATGTACAATGAATAGTTTTGAAAGCCACAACATATCAGAAAATCAACATACTTTGCAATTTTAAAAATCCTTTCAATACTTCGTTATAAGTTGAATTTTGAATTCAGTGCAAAAAAGTGAATTTGAATATATTCAGCTGATTAATGTTGTTTTTAATCATAAGCTTGTTTCACAATATGTCTTAAATAAGAAGTATCACCAAGCGATCTATAGTGTAGCAATGGTATGCAGTCATAGAGAATAGAATATATATTAGAGTGGAATTTACTGGAAAAAAGTGTGAAACGGCCATTTTGTTTTACTGTTTCCATACTGCAGGTGTACTTCACATATTTGTGCTATATAACCTTTTGGGCCCTGGAACTTCATTTTATAGAAAATATAAAATTAACATTAAAAGAAAACCAAATTATGAAAAAGGCAGGTTTCATAATTGACTAATGATCATTTCACATAGACTATATGCCTTTCACTTTACAAACGATGATTTTCCGTTATAACTATAAATCAAATGATGTTTATTAATCACCTAATTCATTTTATAAAGTTTGTTTAACAGCTTTAAAAAATTTGAAAATGAAATGGATAGCCTAGGGAACATACTGTATTAATGTACTCTACTGCATATAATTTGTGAACATTTCCATGATTTGTACACTTTGAACTCCTTTTCAGGCTGAAAGGGACTGAAAAAATTCATACCGAGAGATTGTCTAAATTCCTCTCTAATATATATTCTTTTCTCTATGTATGCAGTCCCTTCGTTTTTCTATTCTATGCCATTTTACTGTCAGTTTCAAAAGAATATTGCATTATCTAAAATCCTGAATTTAGTTTTTAAACGAATAGTTTTACTTAATTAGAAAGCATAGCAAACTCGGAACTTCTTATTTTTCAGTGTATGTGAAACTACAGGGTGGCCCACAAAGGATGATACTGTAGTGACGACTTAAAACTTTTTTTATGACAAGTTAAAGGTTGAATTTGGTTCAATGTTTTGAAAAAAAATTCTATTATGGTATTTTTTATGTTAAGTCAAAGAACGAAACACGTTTACAGTTTCTGCAGAAATATTGAATTAGGCAAAATAGACAGAATAAAATCTGTACGGTCGTCCCTGTAGCTTCATCTATTTCGGGTAGCCCTTTAATTTACTAGTGTTCTACCACATTTTACAAATAAGCGATAATAATAAGTTTAATAAAATATTTTAATCCTTTTTTCTATCAAAAATATCAAAGAAATTGCTTTCGAAGATACTGGTAATTGTTCTGAGGCCGAATTTAAAGAGTTTGAGCCGTGGCTTAAATTTAAGCCGCGGCTCAAACATGATTGGTTCCACTTTAAGTTGTATTCAATGTTTCAAGATTTAAACTGGCGCTCAATTAAGTTTTTGCCGGATTTGAGACGCGACTTAGATTCATTAAATTCGGACACAGGACTAAGGGTGACGTAAACTTGATTTATAAAGATACTTTTTACCTAAAATACTATGGCAGAAAATATCATTCATTCATTATTTTGATAAAATTTCCAAATGGGTAGCTTTGTATTGATATGAAAAAAGTGTTATTAAAGGAACAGAATGACTTTAGATTGTCAAAAATTTTAATTTTTGAACTTTTAAATTTGAAAAATATTAAATATTCTAGAGAATAATGTGGGAGGTTGACTGTTTGTGGCTAGGGATACTTTTCAGTTCAGGTATTTCAACGGAGGTATTTCATATCAAGTTTTATTATACCTGGTTCAAATAAACCATACATTTTGTCTGCAGTGATGTCGGAGATATAGTTCAGGTATTTCATATTAAGTTTTATCATACCCAGTTCAAATAAACCATACATTTTGTCTGCAGTGATGTCGGAGATATAGTTCAGGTATTTCATATCAATTTTTATCATACCCAGTTCAAATAAACCATACATTTGGTCTGCGGTGATGTCGGAGATATAGTTCAGGTATTTCATAAAAAATTTTATCATACCTGGTTCAAATAAACCATGCATTTTGTCTGCAGTGATGTCGGAGAAATAGAAAAAAAATTGAGATAACGAATATATTGTTCTAAATGAAGAATATATTGTTCGAAATTATTAACATTATTTTTGAAAGTTACGAACTTAACTCAAAATTACGGACAGAATCACAGGAATATAAAAATTTGTGAGACATCCCTAACATTCCGTTCAAATGTTCAAACTACTTGCAATTCCGTCTAATCGAACAGTTTCATTAAAAATGTAAAAACAGTAAAAAGCTGAAGGTCTCACATATTTGTTTAAATTTGATGTATAGAAGTTCTAGAACTAGTTATATTTTATGTACAAAAGGTCTAGAACTAGATATATTTCATGTACAGAAGTTCTAGAACTAGGTATATTTTATGTACAAAAGGTCTAGAACTAGGTATATTTCATGTACAGAAGTTCTAGAACTAGATATATTTCATGTACAGAGATTCTAGAACTATGTATATTTTATGTACAAAAGGTCTAGAACTAGATATATTTCATGTATAGAAGTTATAGAACTAGGTATATTTTATGTACAAAAGGTCTAGAACTAGATGCATTTCATGTGCAGCAGTTCTATAGAACTAGGTATATTTCATGTACAAAAGGTCTACAACTAGATATATTTCATGTAAAGCAGTTCTATAACTAGGTATATTTCATGTACAAAAGGTCTAGAACTAGGTATATTTCATGTTCAGCAGCTCTAGAACTAGGTATATTTCATGTGCAAAAGGTCTAGAACTAGGTATATTTCATGTTCAGCAGTTCTAGAACTACTGTATATTTTATGTACAAAAGGTATCGAACTAGGATTACAATTGTTCTAGTTTGTGGAAACTATGTTGAGTACGGATGTACAGATTACACAGACCCTGATCTATATGGAGAGGACGGTCTTCCAATCTTCAGACCATTGGTAAGGACAAGGACAAACTTTGATATAGGACAAGAAACACTGTTCAAGGACAAGGACAAATACAGGTTCAAGGACAAGGACAAACTTGGATAAAGGACAAGAAACACTGTTCAAGGACAAGAAATACAGGTTCAAGGACATGGGCAAACTTTTATCAAAGACAAAAAACACTGTTCAAGGACAAAAACAAATACAGGTTCAAGGACATGGGCAAACTTTTATCAAAGACAAAAAACACTGTTCAAGGACAAAAACAAATACAGGTTCAAGGACATGGGCCAACTTTGATCAAAGACAAGAAACACTGTTCAAGGATAAGGACAAATTCAGGTTTAAGGACATGGGCAAACTTTGATCAAGGACAAAAAACACTGTTCAAAGACAAGGACAAATACAGGTTCAAGGACATGAGCAAACTTTGATCAAGGACTAGAAAAACACTGCTTAAGGACAGGGAATCACTGATCAAGGACAAGAAAAACTCTGTTCAAGGACAAGAATAACACTGATGACGGACAAGAAAAACAAGAACAAAACCAAGATCACCAACAAAGATAAGAATCAACAAAAAATAAGATTAAAAGAGAGATAGATACATGGTCAAAGACAAACAAAAATACCCGAAAAAAAAAAACAGAAAAAATAAAATGAGAAGGCAAAATAAATCAAATACCAAGAAAATTTAAATAACAAAGACAAGAAAAATGAAAAGATAGATCCATGGTCAAAGAAAAATATAAAACCAAGGGCAAGGGCAGGGACAAAGATAGGACAATAAAAACAAAATTTAAAAAGAGCAAAGACAAAGAAAAGAACAAGGACAAAGAAACCATCAAGGGCAAAGGAAACGGGAAAAAGAAAACGACAAAGACAAAGAAAAGGACAAGGAAAAATTAAAAGACAAAGACAAATAAACCGACAAGGACAACGCAGAGGACAAATAAAAAGAGAAAACTGAACAATGACAAAAACGGACAAAAACAAAAAGAGGCAAGGACAAAGAAAATGACAAGGACAAAGAAACGGACAAGGACAAAGAAACGGACAAGGAAAGAAACGGACAAGGTCAAAGAAACAGACAAGGACAAAGAAACGGACAAGGACAAAGAAACGGACAAGGGCAAAGAAACGGACAATGACAAACAAATGGACAAAGAAGAAATGGATCAGGACAAATAAATGGACAAGGACAAACAAATGGACCTGGACAAAGAAGAAATGGTCAAGGACAAAGAAAAAGAAAACATTGAACTAAAAGACAATATCGAATTAAGATTATAGCACACCGAGGAGCTAGTGGGATGTATCCAGAACATACAGCTTTAGCTTACAGGTAAATAGTAAATAATTTATACACTAGTAACAGAACATACAGCTTTAGCTTACAGGTAAATATTAAATTAAATTAAAAATTAAAATTAAATTGAACTGTAAGTAAGATACAGCTGGTTAAAAATGTTAGGTACTTTACCAAAGGCATTTTCCCAAGTTGCAATTTCCGAAATGTGCAATTTCCCAAGTTTGTCCGTCCGCAGCGCTTGGTCTCATAGCCCGTCATAGCCGCAACTCTCGGCCCCTATTGCAAAGCATAACTTAACCTTTGGGAAATTTCAGATTTGGGAAGTTACCACCTTGGGAAGTCGTCCTTGGGAAAATATCTAATATCTGGTTGAACTATACTTCTCTACGGATTCCTGAAAATACACTAAAATAGCTTAATCAACCATGCTAGTTCAACTTTACTTCTCTACGGATTCCCGAAAATAGACTATGAGAAGTAGCTTAACCAACCATGCTAGTTCAACTATACTTCTCTACGGATTCCCGAAAATAGACTATGAGAAGTAGGTTAACCAACCATGCTAGTTCAACTATACTTCTCTACAGATTCCCGAAAATAGACTATGAGAAGTAGCTTAACCAGCCATGCTAGTTCAACTATACATCTCGCTATTGATTTAATCATACCTTAAAGCTTGACATTTGGGAAAATTGGTTGCTCGTGATAACTTTGACTTCTTTGACTTTGTGTTAAAGTGTCACGTTAATTAACGTTATTGTGTCCTGGAATGAACGTTATTAAACGTTCTATGAACGTTATTTGGTTTAGGTTGGACAGTTTTCTAGAAACTTCTATTGTTTCAGGAAAGCAGCTGAGCAAGGTGCTGATTATATAGAATGTGATCTTGCAATAACAAAGGTTTAAAGTTTTAAAATAATAAACATGAAGGGGAACAAATTTATATGTGCCTTTCAACCTTGGTTCCGTAATTCGTTGGTTTATTAATGCATCTAGAATTTCAAGGATTTTAAGAATATCTAGAATATCTAGAATTATATTTAGAATATCTAAGATTACAAGTTTATCTACAGAACTTAGGATTTTTAAAAATTTTGGATTATAAGTTTATCAGAATATCTAGAATGCATAGAATATGTGTGATTACAAGTTTATCTAGAATATCAAGGATTATAAGTTTATCAGAATATCTAGAATGCATAGAATATGTGTGATTACAAGTTTATCTAGAATATCAAGGATTATAAGTTTATCAGAATATCTAGAATGCATAGAATATGTGTGATTACAAGTTTATCTAGAATATCAAGGATAATAAGTTTATTGTATTACAGTGGTAGGCGATTATATAAATACAATGAAGACGACTTTCGATTTAAATATTTTTTAGTTAAAATTTTTAACGGCATGGATACACATACACATAGAAGTCAAGAGAGGCTGTCAATTAAAAAGGGTTCTTTTTTGATTACTTGTAAACTTGTTATTCGAAAAAAGCTTTTAAACATTCAAAATTAGACAAACAGTCGTCATCATTGTATTGATTTAGTCGCCTACCACTGTAGAATATCTAGGATTGCAAGTTTATCTGGAATATCTAGAATATATAGGTTTATGTCTAGAATAGCTATAATTATAATATTATCTAGAATATCTAGGATTACAAGTAAATCTAGAACATCTTGGATTACTAGTATATTTAGGATATCTAGGATTACAAGTTTATCTGGAATATCTAAAATTATATTTATATTTAGAATATCTAGGATTATATCTAGGATATCTAGGATTACAAGCATATCTAGAATATTAGGATAACAAGTAGGATTACAAGTATATTTAGAATATCTAGAATTACAATTCTATCTAGAATATCTAGGATTAAAAGTATGTCTGTAATATCTAGGATTATTAGTATATCTAGAATATTTAGGATTACAAGTATATCTAGAATATCTAGTATTACAAGTATATCTAGAATATCTAGGATTACAAGTATATCTATAATATCTAGGATTACAAGTATATCTAGAATATCTAGGATCACAATTATATCTGTAATATCTAGGATTAAAAGTATATCTAAAATATATCTAGGATTACAAGTATATCTATAATATCTAGGATTACAAGTATATCTAGAATATCTAGGATTACAATTATATCTGTAATATCTAGGATTACAAGTATATCTAGAATATCTAGTATTACAAGTATATCTAGAATATCTAGGATTACAAGTATATCTGTAATATCTAGGATTACAATCATATCTAGAAAATCTAGGATTACAAGTATATCTAGAATATCTAGGATTATAAGTTTATCTGTGCTCATGAGCCCTGGTTGAGTGGAACTACTGATGTATCTGACAAGGCTGAATTTGAGGATAGAAAAACTACTTACAACATGGACGATGATGATGAGTAATGTATAATTAAATCTTTTTCATGTTTATCTATTTATTCAGGGTTATTCGTACAGAAGATGAGACTTCCAAGACGATTGTAATGAAAAATTGCAGTATTTTCGATTTTTGGTTTTTTCTATTTATGCCAAATCGTATAAAATATCAGAAATAGATCATATTTAAGCATGAAGGTATCCCTGTACCATGGTGAAATTAAAAGCTATTGCATTGCACACTATAATAGAAAGAGGAGAATTTAAAATTCCCATGAGAAATGTAGCTTCTCTTTCCTTTTTAGGAAATTCATGAATAAAAAAAAATAATATTTATATTTTCTAGTTTAATAAACTGGAATGACAAGGGCAATATAACAGACTGGTTTTCTTTTGATTTTACCCTTGAGGAACTGAGGACTTTGAAGAAATATCAGGTTAATCATATTAAAGGGAGTGTTAATCCTCTCTTCAAAAGAAGTGTTCACCTGATTAAAAATGCATATACAACATTTTATATATCTATATAATATTTTTAACTTTATATTTCAAATTTTAGCATAGACAGAACTGTGCGAAAATTTGCTTTCGGCTATATCCCAACTTAGTAATAACGTAAAATCCGCGAAACATGACAGTTGGTAAAATTGGTAAATAATTTGAAATGTCTTCTTCCCTATACTGTAATTATAGATATTAAAGACTTTTTACATTTTTTTCGTTCAATAAAATCTTTTACTAAAATATATTTTACTTTGAAATCAATTTTATTATGACTCCCATTAAATATTATTATAATTCTCTTTTCGGTAGTAAACAACTTATTTATTTATGGAAGAAGACATTTTGATCATTATTCACCAACTGTCATGTTTCGTGGGACACCCTGTATGTCGTTGTAATTCAAAATTCAAATATTGTAAAATCAAGCAAGCATGATGTTTACGTATTGAAGATAGCAGACGACATTTAGTTCGTGATTTTTTTCTTCTTTCTATTTTGTTCTTCACAGAACAAAACATAATAACAATTCGGTTTTTATACCATTACAATGAGGATGACTTAATTCTATTTAAGTTCTGATTTCTGACGAGCTTTTTTCTTTCATGGGTACGAGAAAGCAAAGAAAAGATGTTATTCACAGCTTCTCCTTTTTTTCAATTTTTATGTATATCCATGATTTTTGAGAGCTTGGTAGAAATCAAAAATTGAATTCAAAAGTCGTCTTCAGTGTGTTCACGCCGACGACTGTACATAAAACAATTTTTCTGAATATCGGATTTTTTTTTAGAGTCAAAACTTCAGAGATCCAAGATATGATCTTCAAGAGACTGTTGTTACTTTAGATGAACTTGTTGATATTACAAGGTGAGAATGTAAATCTTGATACTGATCTTGATTCTGATCTTGATCCTGATCTTGATCCTGATCTTGATCCTGATCTTGATCCTGATCTTGATCCTGATCTTGATCCTGATATTATCTAGGGAGTTTGGTTTAGAACAAGGACGAACTATTGGTATATATCCTGAGATGAAACACTGTCATGCTGTCAACAAGGTTTTATACTTCTTCATTTGTTAAACTCAGATTTAATATCAAATAAATTTTTGAAAATAATTGTTTGCCAACAGACATACAAATATTCTTCACAGGAGGTTGTTTGATTCGTCATATTGTTATAGTAGAATAATGATAAAGAAAAAAGATGTTGTTGAGATGACAATGATAAAAATAAAAACTGAAAATAATTTTATGAAAATTTTAAAAATGCTATTTTTCAGATACTACAGAACAGGAACTCAAGCGTAAGGTTTGAGGAAATTGTTCTTCAAACTTTAAACGATCTTGGGTTTAAATCCAACCCTGACCCAGTATTTCTCCAGGAACACAAAGATAAACTAGAAACAAGAAAATTATTTTCAAATATTTTAAGACATTAGCGGTGGGTACGTGGGAGGCGGGGAGCCGGGGGGGGGGGTCGATACTTAATCTCAAAACTTGCAAAATCAAACTAAAAGTTAAGTATGGGGACCCTGCAAAAGCCTAATGGTCGAGCTTAAATTATTTTATTATTATTGTTGTTTCCGTTTAGAGTTTTGAGTTCACTAGTCTGGAGTATATTAGAAATAAAACAGAACTCAAGGAATTTATACAATTCAACTTTTCAGGAATAAATAATTTCATTTCTTATAATATGATTCCTCTTTTTTAATTATACTAGGCTTTTAGTGCGCTTCGCGTCCATCTTCTATCAATTTCAACTGTTAGCATTTTCTCATTGTAAACATTGTAAAACAAAAATAAAAATTTTGCGGATTTAAAAAAAAATCGTGGATTTTCAAAATTTTCGTAAATCGAATTTTGTTGGAGGCAAATTTTTAAATTTTTGATCATCCATAAACCTTCCACGAGGTCACGAGATGTTTCACAGAAAATTTGGGCCCTCTCGGTTAAGCCGTTTTGACGTTTATTGGATACAAATAGACAGACAGACACCCATACAAGCAAAGTATATATATAGATAATTCCTGTTTTTATGTCATGTTGTAGTCAATCTATATTTGTTCATTAAAGGGAATGTAGGTGTAATTTCAAGTGACCCCCATTTGTAGAGTGGCGGGTCTGATTCAAAACAATGCCCTGCTAATCAAGGACTGATAAAAGGACGACCGACTTGTAAGTTGTACTTATTTATCTATAGAAATGCTTACAATGGTTGAACACTTTTCTGTAAGCTACATGAACACTACAGTATTACGGCATTTTAGAGTTCTCTACCCTCGTTGATCAGCCAACGGCTTAAAGGACAACATTACAAATCGGGCATTTCACTCTTTTTTAATGGAGTTTTACTGATTACAATTAGGTTCACAGTCCCTTTAAGCGTCATGAATCATATGTTCCTAATCTTTAATTTTTTCATAAATAGCAAATTTTACTTTCTTTTATATTTATTCATTATTTTTTTAGTTTTTGATTCAGTGATTAATTACATTTGTTCCGCTGAGATGGTTTTATTTATTTTTTATCATTTGCTATAAGACGTTATCAAGCTACTCATATTTTTATTTTTTAACAGCTTAAAAATGTTTAATCCAATCGTGAGAGCGTGTAATACTCTTACTTTCATTTATTAAAGGGACCCTTAATTCAAAGTGTTCTACACTAGCCTTTAATCAGAAATATAATGATTCGTCGTCTTTCTGTCTCTAAAGGTATAATTTTTTTCTATATTTCAGCAAGCCACTTTTTAATCATTTTCCAGATTGAAAAAATGAAAATATTTCATTCATCCTTGAACAGACAAAGGTTTGAAGGCTGAATCATACCCCTCTTAAATGGAGGGTAACTTGAAATTCTTTTTAGTAGTTTGTAATACATTCTTTGACTTCATTGAGCATATTTTTTCCACCAAATATTGAATTGATTCTGACCAATAATTTATATTTCGTTTTCATAATTTTTCCCATTCATTTTAACGTAATTTGAACAAAATCATTATTCAAAACGCTTATTATCGTTTTTTTCTAGGAATCCACCTTTTTCTGCGCTAACTGTATTGGACAAAACATAGTTTTTATGTTCCCTGACTTATTAGTAATTTATCTTTTATAAATGTTGAATGAATGAATACCCCTGGAGCAGCTTGTTCTTCTGTTAGAGAGGATGATAGAAGAGAAGGATTGGGAGAGGATTGATAATTTACAGCTGGCAGGTCGGTGACATGTATATTGTATACTATGTATACTATATAGGGCAGGTCGGTAAAATGTATACTATGTATACTATATAGGGCAGGTCGGTGACATGTATACTTTATAGGGCAGGTCGGTGACATGTATACAATGTATACTATATAGGGCAGGTCGGTGACATGTATACTACGTATACTATATAGGGCAGGTCGGTGACACGTATACTACATATACTATATATGGCAGGTCGGTGACATGTATACTACCTATACATACTATATATGGCAGGTTGATCTAATATAAATTCGGTCAGTCTTATGTACTGGTAACTCCAGGACTAGATATAGATAAAGAAGAATTTTTAACTCCCTGAGATTAGTATAATGACTCCAAGTATAGAACAGGACTGGGAATAGATAAAGGAGTACTACTAACCTCTGGAGATTTGTACAATTACTCCATGTATTCTCCAGGATTAGGAATATAAAGAAATACTTGTAATTCCTGTAGATTAATATAATAAATCTATGTATACTTAAGGAATAGGAATAGATAAAGGAGTACTTGTAACTCCTGGAGATTAGTATAATGACTCCATGTATACTCCAGGACTAGGAATAGATAAAGGAGTACTTGTAACTCCTGGAGTCCCGGATGAAGAAGGAAGAGGACAGTATAGAAGCAACACTACTCAGTTTATAGCAAAGGTTGGTAAATAATTTTATATAACTGTTTTATATAAATATATCAAGGTATGTTACAGTAATAACCAGAACAGTCTGGAATAGGAAGACGACTTTTAGACTCAAGTTTTTACTTTAAATAGTCCATTAAGAACAGGACACAGCAATTTTGCAGTGTAAACAGACCCATTTCACTTAATTAGTGTCCAGTAAAACTATTTGCTTAGAACCAACACCAAATACACTTAAGTAGTGCTATAAAGTCGTCTTCCTATTTCACAGTTTGCTGGCTATCACTGTAGTAAACTTAGGGTAGATAGATACGGATTGTGTACACAAATGACTTTAGCGTTTTAGGGCTGTTTTTAGGAACTAGTTTTATCGAAACAATAACAAGGGTTGTAAATGTAGGTCGAAAATGTTCTGTGGTGGGTATGGAGTTTTGGCTTGTTTACAAATAATTGTTTTGTTTGTCACAGTAAAATGTTCACAACATCTTATCTCCCTTCCTTTATTATAAACATATTAACTCATATATACATATCTAGCTCATATTTCTCACATTTGAAAAAAGGTTAAAGTCTACTGCAGGTAGTTATTAATACAATAAAAGGATACTAAGTTAGATGTCGTCTTCTGTACAGTTTGATAAATAGTTTAGACACAACTTTACTGTTTTCAATCTAAAATACTATTTCTTAAGTAATTTTAACACCTGCCCAGGAAACATTTTTACCGACCATATGTGCCGATGGAAAATCTGTCTGGGTAAATAATTCTGGACTTTTTATGTTCCCCATCGGGTTTGACGGAGACTAAATGTTTACAGGGATATTTCAAAAACCAGATTTTATCCTCATTCTGCATGCTTTCAGGAACAACTTTAAAGGAAGCGCAATTTTAAATGATCCTTCATTCAAGGATGGAAATGTTGATTGATTTACAACAATACGGTCAGGTCATTGATCAAGGATGAATTTACAACAATATGGTCTGATCAGTGATCAAGAATGAATTTAAAACAAAGTTTTAATTTCTGTATTTACATTGGCGGCTTCTCTGTTAAATCGACTTGCGCATTCTTGATTATTAGAAGCATTGGAGAAATTCACAGAAATACACACTTTTCGAAAAAAACGGTCTCTTCACAATTTTGATTAGCTCAAGGTTTCAAAGGTACCGTGCAAATTGTTAATTGTTAATTGTGCAAATTGTTAATTGCCATCTTTGAATGAAGGGACACTTAAAGCTACGTTTACTTACAGACTGTACAGTCCCTTTACGCGATAGGTAAGGCTTGATTGTGAATTTAAAAAATTAGGGTTTTAAGTTTATTTAAGTTTATTTATTTAAAAATAAAAAATTTGGATAATTTCAGGTTCATGAGCATGGTTTGAAGGCGCATGCGTTTACATTCCGAAATGAATGGATGAAACTTTACTGGGACCATGGGCAGGACCCATACAGGTAAACTTAAAGGGAATAAAGGTGTACTGGGACCATTAACAGGACCAAATACTTTCTTTTTTTCTGTTGGATATCTCCGTTATGTTACTTAAAAACTTACCCAAATTAAGAAAATAAAATGTTTTTGAGTACAGCTTAAAGACGATTTTCTATTTTAATTTTGAAATTTTGATTTCTACCAAGATTTTAAACCGCAGATGCACATAAATCCGTAAACAAAAAGAATTAGTCAATTAATAGCTTCTATTTCATTACTTGTAAGCAATTGTAATTATTTGTAACTACTTGTAAGCTCGTACGCTTGTCAGGGATATAAAATTATTAGTAGAAGGTCGTCTTCTTCTTATTTTTATAAAAACGCCGACAACTGCTAGAACTGCATGAATCAGCCATGAAACTATTTAAATTTATTTGAAATCACGTTTACAGACCCTAGTTCTATTTATAAGAATATAATAAAAACTGTATAATGTAAAGTAATTCTTTTTTAAGTCAGATGAAGGAATTCCTGGATCTAGGCCTTGACGGATACATAATAATAATACTATTTATGAATTAAGACGGTTTCTGAAGTACGAGAATCTACTTTGCAGTGGTTCACCTACAATAAGTAGGTAGTGTATAGTATACAATATATAAGCAGACGTAAGACTTAAGACTAACCCAAAGGATGAGACTTAAGAGACGACTGTACGGAATTTATACTGTCTGTTTTCAAACTTTGAACTTGTTTCTTTCTTTGTGCAACCTTTGATTCGTGATGTTCAAAGGGTTTCAGGTCGTATTTACCTCATCCTTTGCATTCCTTGGTTTTAGTCCAATCTTTGGTTTCCGGCCCATGCTTGCATAGTCTCCCCTGGATAGAAAAATTCCTGTGTATGCCTCTGGCCATGTTTACATTTTTCCTACAGTGAAACCCTTAATAACGAAGACATCGAAAGAATTTATCAAATGTCGTCTTGACAATTTTTCAATGAGTTTTATACTATATTACGTAAATTTTAGTATTTGCGAAAATAAATAAATAGCCATGAATATGCGGGAACAGTTTTCAAGAGTTCCATATAATCATTTAATTAAAAACTAAATATCTGCAACATTCCATTATCAGAAAGTGAAGAATACGACATTTGATGAATTCTTTCGATGTATTCTTTATTAAGGGTTTTACTGCATATGATCGTAAGCTTCCTAGTTAGGCTTGAAAAGGGTAGAGGACCCATTGTGCAAATGGCTATGGAGAATTTCGCATGAAGATTTTACTTATTTCGTCTTTAATTTTAGGTTAAATGGATTTGTCAGTATAATTGCTATTCTTTCGTCCTACGTCAACAAGCCTTTTGGATCTATCTAGTTGAAGAAGCAAATTTACAATGTCGTCTTCTAAAAATATATGTTGTAAAAGTGAAGATTAAAATGATGTCAATTGTATGTATCTAAATATGCATTTGTAAACAAACAAGAGATACCATTTTTTATATTAAAGGGGTGACAGAAGCCAGCGCCCCCCCCCCCCTACCTTCTAATTGATGATCTTAATGTTAATGTGAAATTTTCAAATTGCAACCAGCTTGGGAATGCAGAGCTTGGCCGTAACTGGGGAGGGACGCCGGGGCGCATGCCCCCCCCCATTGGAAATCAAAAACTATTATAACTCACACTGCTGTAAATGGACCATCAGGTTTCAAGTTAAAAACCCTAAACTTTTTCTTTAGAATATATTAATATGATGTCTAATGAATTATAATCTCAATTTTCAGGAAATACCATCTAAGGAATTTTGAGACTAAATCCATTTTTAAGATATTGTAGAAATCAAGTACATTTTCTGGTCTAAAAACAAATTTATCTTTAGTTTCAAGACTTGATTAAGCTGATTCTGTTTTTTTTTGCGATATTTTTTGAACTGTTAATTGCAGGGTCTCCAAAGTTTGTGAGTTGTCCTTAACAGTCTTCAGACACGGTTTGGCAAAACTTCAATTTTGAAAACGATTGTTTTCAAACTGTATGACTGTTTAAGTATTGCCTATAAAAGGCTTTTTGAAGTGAAATCCTTAAAAATCACAGCAAAAAGACTTTTTCAGGCCGTATCTAGTCAGTCAGGCAGTTGACTTTGGACCTTGATTTATTACTACATTATGTCTTTTGACTGTTAAAAGTTAAAATAAATTTAGGGACCCTTTCATTAATACTTTAAAAAATATTGTAAAAACCCCAGAAGAAGCATATTAAAGCCTTGAAACGAAATTTACGTTTGATTTTAGACCTGTAAATGCACTTGTTTTCTGAAATATTTTTAAAATGGATTTGCGAAAAATTCTCTCGGTGGTATTTTCTTAGTCTAAAAGTATACTTCCTATTCCAGAGTTTTCTGGCTATATCACTGTATTTCATTTATTCAATTATTTAACAATATCTGCTCTGTTTCATTTTGCAAATCTTAAACTAGTTTTTTTTTGTGTTTTACATATATATGTATTATGTTATAGAAAGAAAAAATAATTTGTTTCCAGATATTATTGTTCATTTAAAATGCTGTGTTTATGACAGTTCAACGATATGAAATTGAACAATGAAAATGATTGAAATTAGGCAATGAAAAAGATTTAACTTAAGCAATGAAAATGATTGAAACAAGGCAATGAAAAAGATTGAAATTGAGCAATGGAAAATATTAAAATTAAGCAATGAAAAAGATTGAAATAGAGCAATGAAAAAGATTGAAATTAAGCAATGAAAATGATTGAAATTAATCAATGAAAAAGATTAAAATTAAGCAATGAAAAAGATTGTAACACTTTACGAATTTTAAGGTAAAAAAGTTAGTTTTTAGAGCTTTTTAGTTCAAATATGATTTTTAACCAGCTTTATTCGAACTAAAAATTAAGAAAATAAACAAAGAGAAGCTGCTATTTGTATAGCTTTACTTTGTTTCCATGATTATGTGTATCCATGCTGTTTAAGAACATGCAGTTTTTATGTAATGTATTGATTTAAATGACAAATTCGGTTTCCAGGCAGAGTTGGGTTTCTCTGCCAGTTGGTTAATAAGATACAGTGATAACCAGAAAACTATAGAATAGGAAGACAACATGAAAGTGTCAACTCCTTTGCCTTTATTTTTACATCACGATTTCTGCGTAAGAGCTTGCAATTTTTAGAATAGTGTGGTTATGAATGGTTAAAAAATATAGTATTAGAGTTGGATGTCTAATTTGTTATGATATATTTAACAAAGAAAGAGATGTATATAATGTATATTTCCTGGTAGAGTCCGATCAACAATTTCATTTTTTCATTAAAAATAGATGTCTAGCCTGAAATTCCGAATCCGTTATAAATATTAATAATCTGTATACCGTTTATACTCTTTTCTCCTTGAAACTAGGATCTATAACATGAAATATTTCATACAGGAAATCTAGGGAGCATCTAGAGTTGTGAGTGAAAGGGAGAGGGGGGGGGGGGTTTCATAAACTTAAAATAAAACACTAGCTTTTCTCGGATACATTTCCTACACCATTTGATAAAAAGTGTGTTAATGTGCACACAATGTCTTTATGTTTATACGAAGCAAATACGCGAGAGAAAAAATGTAAGATTTCTATATCTATTTCCCTAAATAAACTATGGGCAGTGATAAATTTCTTAAATATTTTTATTTTTATTCTATTGTATTTATTAACGAAAGTTAAAATATGACCCTTTAACACCCGATCTCCACCAACTCTACTTCAAATGAGGGAAAACAGCTTATTCTCTACAGCATGCATCATGCAGCTACAGGATTTAGATTACAGACAGATTACACGCTACACAGACTGCTTATAAGCTCTCACGGGCTAAGCTAGGCAGGCACGACATGCTACATTTCCACAAAAGATTTTTGACTGCCATCTATCAGCCACTTGTTGCATATAAAACCCATTAAGGAATTAAGTTTTACAATTGTTAAAGAAATATCTACTCTAATTTTTAACATAAAACATAAAATTTATGAATTTAGTCTATTTTTGAAGGTTTCGTATTTCGTATCCAAAGGATCCTGAAATATCCCTGAGCCCAAAACTTAAGACAGGGTATCAATATGAAAACCAGTTTTGAAACCCGGGTTTCACGAATGGGGTGAGGCAGTTTTGTTGATATCAATATTTTTGTTATGAAATATTATTTTTATAGTTTCTTCATGTATTCTTCTTTTTTGTTGAATCTTTTAAATCAAAATCTACAAAATGTTAAGATCCCAAAAAGGAAACTCGGAAGTTTTGTTCACCGATACTCTTTTAAATTTCAGACTCTGAATACATGGACATCTGTTTATTGGTCGTGTACTCCAGTTGTACACAATAGAACCTGATGTGGAAAATAGCCTTTAATAGATCTCTGTACACTCTTCTCTCTGCTTTATGTCAAGGAATATAACAGGAACTCTCAAAAAAATAAATTGTTCTTCAGTTTCTGGAAGGAATGTAAATACACGCTGTGCTGCCCAGAAAAAGCTTTGTTTACATTCTTCTCTGAAACTGCAGTACAGTTTTTTATGGAAGTTCCTTTTATATTTGTTGGTGTATATTAAGCAATATATATTGTAAACAACAATGTTCGGTACACTAGGACTGCTTTGTGAGCTCTTAGCTCCTTCAGTTTTGATTTCACGCTCAAGTATGGGAAAAGCTTAAATGTATCCGGAAGAAGAAGAGTAATTGATAAAAACATAACAGATTTCAATCTTACGTGAATTTACCTTAGCTTGACGTGAATATATTCTTATACAGGTTGGATTAGGTGTATTCGCAAAGGTTTGGATCGGGTTTTATCTAAGCTATGCCAGGCATAACTAAAGTATATACCCTTGAGCCTAGGTCGTAAAAAGGCGGGAAAAATTAAGATCAAGCCACTTGGTTGAAATATATGGCAGAAATGTGTATAGACTTGTTATCTTATGGTTTAATAGACTCATACGCACTTCGAACTATTTGGGGGGGGACTAGAGAACTAGAGAACTAGAGAACTAGAGAACTAGAGAACTAGAGAACTAGAGAACTAGAGAACTAGAGAACTAGAGAACTAGAGAACTATAGAGCTAAAGAGCTAGAGAACTGGAGAACTGGAGAACTAGAGAACTAGAGAATTAGAAAACTAGAGAACTACAGAACTAGAGAACTAGAGAACTAGAGAACTAGAGAACCAGAGAACTAGAGAACTAAATAACTAGATAACTAGATAACTAGAGAACTAGAGAACTACAGAGAGCTAGAGAACTAGAGAACTAGATAACTACTAGAGAACCAGAGAACTAGATAACTACTAGAGAACCAGAGAACTAGATAACTAGAGAACTAGAGAACTATATAACTAGATAACTAGATAGATAGAGAACTAGAGAATTTGAGAACTAGAGAACTAGAGAACTAGTGAACTAGATAACTAGAGAACTAGAGAACTAGAAAACTAGATAACTAGAAAACTAGAGAACTAAAGAACTAGAGAACTAGAGAATTAGAAAACTAGAGAACTAGAGAACTAGAGAACTAGAGAACTAGAGAACTAGAGAACCAGAGAACTAGAGAACTAAATAACTAGATAACTAGATAACTAGAGAACTAGAGAACTATAGAGAGCTAGAGAACTAGATAACTAGATAACTACTAGAGAACCAGAGAACTAGATAACTACTAGAGAACCAGAGAACTAGATAACTAGATAACTAGAGAACTATATAACTAGATAACTAGATAGATAGAGAACTAGAGAACTAGAGAACTAGAGAATTAGAGAATTAGAGAACTAGAGAACTAGAGAACTAGAGAACTAGAGAATTAGAGAACTAGAGAACTAGAGAACTAGAGAACTAGAGAACTATAGAGAGCTAGAGAACTAGAGAACTAGATAACTACTAGAGAACCAGAGAACTAGATAACTACTAGAGAACTAGATAACTAGATAACTAGATAACTAGAGAACTAGAGAACTAGAGAACTAGAGAACTAGATAACGAGGGAACTAGAGAACTAAAGAACTAAAGAACAAAAAAACTAGATAACTTAAACTAGAACTACAATCCTGAAAGTTTAACCTGCAAAGAGTATAGGATGGGTAAGGATTATATCCAAGGCATGATTCTCAACCTATTAGGATTGGCTTAGTAACACTATAAACTGTAATAAATGTCATAGGCATGGTAATTAGTAGGCAGTACTCACACTATACACACAGTGGTTTACTAGGAGGCAGAAGTCAGTTTAAGGAGGGGAGGGGGAGGGGGGGAAGGAAGGTAGCAGAGGGTTGAAAGGTAGGTAGGAGATAATTGGAAGGTAGGTTAGTTATGGTTGGAAGGTAGGTAGGAGATGGTTGGAAGTTAGGTAGAAGATGGTTGGAAGGTAGGTAGGAGAGGGTTGGAAGGTAGGTAGGAGAGGGTTGGAAGGTAGG